TGTCTGCCCTATAAGGAAGTCCTCCAACTTACTGGGAATAATTTGGGGGTTGGTGGCAGGATCGGCACTCCAGCCACTGGGAAAAACCTCACACTGGTGATTTGGGACTCGCGTGGTGCTGAGGTCTCATCCGCTGCATGGCCGCTCTTGGGTCGCACTGTATCAGCGCTCGCTCCTTACCTCACACGTATATCACATCCCCGGGTGACTCAGATCTTGTAGATACATTACAAACCAATATTTTTAAGTGAAGTATAGTTGCATATTCTCACAGAAAAAGGGCGGCACAGTGCTCCCTACAGCATACTGAGTCAACACTATTATCTGCTGAGAATACTTTTAGTATATAGTTATACCTAAATAAGCAAACTGTGCAGTTATTTCTCAATATATACATTTTGTTACCACCATTTACGTCGTTCTTTCTAAAGAATTCCCCATTAGCAATGTTCTTTGCCTAAAAATATTAATCAAAAAATTCCCTCAGCACTACTCACTTACTAACCATAATTTGACACGATTTTGTAAACTTGCAAAAATGCCTATGGAAGGAACTGAGAGCATAGTTAATACGGTTTCTGCCACTTTGTGAAAACTTATAGTCAAACACAGAAATGTGAGCTTTAAACTCTGGTCATTTTAAAAGGAAACCATAACAATAAAACACTCTGACGGCAGCCAGCATCCTTCAGAATAACTTGCCTGCTGCGGAAAAGTAGCTATAAAGTCAGTCATGTGGCACTAACACTGAATTATTTGAACACAAAACTCACTTAAATTGTTTTCTTAATAGGCCACTAGGGGATGTTACAAAATATGTATGTGTGCAATGTATATGACCTTATTAAATATTAACAAACACCATAAATAAACATTATAAAAGGAGAAAAACTTTCTGAAATTGTTTTGGGAGGATTGTTAATAATAATCCCATGCAGTATAATACCTGTACGTCATAATACCTGTACCAGGGTAATTCAACTCAGGGTCCTCGAGGTCCGAGCACTGCTGGTTTTCCAGTCTTCCTTTACCTGTCAGTCAGGTGTGAAGCCTCTGACCAATCAGAATCAGTAATTATTAAACTAACTACCTGCGAGAACTGAAAACAAGGCCTGGGTTTGGAATCGAGGTCCAGATTTGAAGAGCCCTAACCTATACTGTCACAGTATGGATCAAAAGTTGTTTATAGGTAGACAGTTGTAACCAGGACTGGGCAAATCTTTAAGCAGGGTAAATGACAGTTTGAAGAATGCTTTACTACCTAATGAGTTAGTTGGCTTTTCTTGTTGATTGGTTTTCTTGTGATTATGGATCATTAAGATTTATGATGGTCAGTCTGAATACATCGATCACCACTTCATTGCGACTGACATTTGCATTTTCGTACACAGCAGTAAACTAAATAGTAATATGAATCAGGTTAAGATTACACCCAAACTAAAGTGTTTACAAATGTTTTTAAATATTCATCTACACATCAGATGTCCCCAAAATATCATAAAACAGTGGCTCTCTGTGTTGGTCTTTGGAAACCATGCAGGTCCTTCAGCTAGTTGAGCACTTGAATGAATGACTTACAGCTGTAAATGAGCCAGTTTCGCCCCCTATTTGAGGCGGTAAGAGGGCCATGAGGAGCAGGGAGACCCGCTAAGCCAGAACCGAGTCAAATCCAAGAATAAATCATAGTGCCCTTGAATGCTCTGCTCCAACTGAAGTGATGCCGATTTCATTCTGCTGACTGTTTAAGTCCTAGAGCCCATATCTCCCATTAATCTCATTCCCAGAGGGCATCAGTAGCTGATGTCACCGGTCATGGAACATATGGCTTTGCCGTCAAAACGGCTCTTTCGCTGGCACTCTGGCATAATGGCTGACGTTTTCCAACACTCTTACATCCTAACTGTTTCTTGCACTTCCTGGCCGCATTTTTTTTTTGCTGCGAGTGCTGAAATAATGCTGGGTTTCCATCTCGACATGCACCCCGCATTGGAAGGAAGCCCAGGCAAAGAGGGTTAAACTCACTGATCTAATGTTCTTATTTTAAAAGCAACCGTTTCATCAAGTGAGGTCTGCTTGCAGACTCAAAGTGACATAGCATCTACGACGCATCTTCATGCTGTAACACTGATTAATCCCAGAATCCACTGCTTACAGGCCAGGAAACACTGAGCAGAAGACAGGAGGGCACCCCAAGCTGAGTATCAGCCAATCGCAGGGCAGATACAAACGCACACAGAAACACACATAGGGGGCAACTTAAAGACACCAATACACTCCAAAGAATACAGGGACAACATACCAGTAAGAAATTATATACAGTGGTATCTCGGTTCTCGAACTTAATCTGTTCCGGACTCCGGATTGAATCCTAAAAAGTTTGAGTTCTGATCGAATTTTTCCCATAAGAAATAATGGAAAAGCAATTGATTGGTTCCCGACCCCCCCAAATTACACCTAAATATGTTTTTTTTGTTGTTTTTTTTTTAGCATTTAAACAA